GAAGAAAAAGGGGTTGAATCAGGAAGAGCAGGGCCAGGCCACCTGTGAGTACCAGGCAGTCTGCCAGTTGTATGAACCACCCACCGGGAGAGCCCCGGTGTGTCGTCATTAGGTGTCAAACAGCAAACCAGTTGTTTTATGGAGTAAGCATCTAAAGTGTCCATGACATTTTTTCCAATCAGCCCCGGATGAATTTGTCTATTACTGAAGAATGTGTATCTAAACTTATTCTCTGTCTTCCAAACCAAATTTGATACCTTTCTGCTTGATGCTTTCAGCTTCAATTTACTGTCCTTGTTTTCCCACCCTCAGTTCCTCCTTAGCCCTTTATTTATTATTATTTTTAATCACACTTTTCTGCCTTACAGTTTCTTCATGTCTCCTTTTTCATATTCCTGTTGGGTTGTGGAAGGCAAGAGTTGCCATGTTTACTCTGAGTGCATAATCAATCTGACATACAGTGACAAACTGTCCCAGTTTGCCCAGTACTGAGGAGGTTCTCCTAGCATTTCAGTTTTAAAATTGCAGACGTCTCCCAGGTTGCAAACACATACCTGTAATCCCAGCACTCAGAAGGTTGAGGCCAAGGATCACTGTCAACTCAAAAAACAATTCTGAACTAGGTAGCAAAATCCTGTCTCCAAAATAAAATAAAATAAAACAAAACAAAACAAACAAACAAAAAGAAGTTCAGTTGAGCTGGAGAGAACTGAGCTACTAGGTGTTAGAGTAGCCAATTAAAGCAGCAAGGCAGAAAGGAAATTGCTCACCAAGTCCTTACCTCTCTATTGTGATAGTTATAGAAGAAGTTGAGACTGGTGAAAGTGCTATTTTCTCTGTCATTTTCCCCCGTGGGCCTTTGAAAGGAACATCAGATTTCAGGGGATCAGTGCAGACCTGTGAGTCCAGAGGAGATGTCTGACTGTCTCATTATCAAGGGAGCCCTAAAGAAAAGTTATATGCATAGTCAGATGTGGTGGTGCACGCCTATAGTCCCAGCACTTGGGAGGCTGAGGCAGGAAGATCGATCGTTGTGAATTCAAAACCAGCCTGGGCTACAAAGTGAGCTCAAGGTCAGTTGACCTGCATAGGGAGACACTATCTTAAAAAGACAAAAAAGAAAGAAAAGTCACATATAGTTCTAAATTGTAAAGGATGGTTTGAAGTGGAAAAGTACCAAGGACTGAGTCAAAGAGGAAAGTAGTGACCACTAATCCAGAATGAACCAAAGTGTCTCAAATTTCCCCCTTTTCCCAGCCCCACCAGTAAGGAAGCCTCCCTAGAGGTCCCCAAAGAAAGATAAAGACCCTTCCAATGAAGGTTCACTGTCTAGGACAACAGACATGATTAACACGATAGGCAGCCGGGGGCCTGAAACCTTGATGGCAGCTTTGTCCAGAGACTGCGGTGGCTTGGCTGAATCCCAAGTCTCATGAGGGTAGCTTTCCTTAGTGGGAGCCTCCAGGCAAAGCTTCTGTAATTGCCTCCTGTTGTGCTTGACAAATCACACAGGTTTTTGGTCAAGAGCTGACCTCCTCCTTCATCTCAGTATATGATCTCTCACTCAGTAGGAAAATGGCCAAACCACACGATCAAATGGTGCCAGAAAAAAGAAATGCAAATTCTTAAACATATGAAAATGATGTTCAACCTCACTAGTAGTAAGAGAAGGCAAATTAAATCTGTACTGAGATGATTTTTAACACCCCATTATAGAGGAGGATCAAGGAAAAAGATTTTTTTTTCTTTTGGTGGCAGCCTCTTTCTTTGTAGTTCAGGCTGAACTTGAACTCTTGGTAATCTTCCTGCATCAGCCCCTCAGTGCTGGCATGCATTACCATACTCAGAAAGCCCTTCTTTTATACTGTGGGACAGTGTATTTTTCAGAATTGCCTCTACAGAAACCAATTTGACAACTTGTACCAAAATTATAGATTCAGATGTATGTGACTAGAAAATATATTCTAGGATTTATACTGCAGATATATTTACACAGGTGGGAATTAATATATATATGAGAGTCTTTATTGTCATTATTGTTTATAATAGCAAAAGAGTGGAAACTAGGGGCTGGGGATTTAGCTCAGCGGCATAAGCACCTGCCTTGCAAGCAGGCAGTCATGAGTTCCATCCCCTGTACCGATAAAAAATAAAATAAAATGAAGAGTGGAAACTGCTTTTATTGTAAGGGACTGGTTAAACAAAATATGGCACATCGTATGCAAATCCAACACATTCATTCAGAAGATCTGTCATTAGTCTTCCAAAGTAAATGCAGAACCGTATATGTAGCATACTCCAGATTGCATTGACACATTGACAGTAGGGAAAAGTAACAGATGCATGCTTTTATTTGCATATAAAAGGTTCCCTCAGTACTCAGGAGACTGAGACAGGAAGATTGCCATGAGTTCGAGGTTAGCCTGGACTACACAGTAAGTTCAAGGCTAGTCTGAACTACATAGCAAGACTCTGTCCCAAAAAAAAAAAAAAAGCTAGGTGTGGTGATGCAAACCTGTAATCCCATAATTTGGGTGGTTGAGGCAGGAGGATCACTGAGTTTGAGGCCAGCCTGAGTTACATAGTAAGTTCAAGGTCAGCCTGTACTACATAGAAAGACCCTCTTTCAGAAAACAAAAATCAAATCAAATCTGGAGCAGGAAAACTTTTTTTTTTATCAGTACCGGGGGATCAAACTCACGACCATGCGCTTGCAAGGCAGGTGCTTATGCCTCTGAGCTAAATCCCCAGCCCCAGGAAAATATTTTTAAAGAATAAAAATAAATATAAGAGTACCCAAGACACTAGGACCTTGTTTTTCAGAAACAGAACTAGCTGTCCAGGAATAGAAGTGGCAAGGAACTATATACACTGTACATTCTTTTAGACCTTTTGAATTCTGAACCGTTTGAAAGTATTATCAAAAACAAGCCAACAAAACAACAAAAAAAAAATGGACTTTTGTGTCAACTTGAATTAAATCTTTTTCTGTCACTTTGCAGTTGTATGTCATTGGGGGACAATGACTGTTCTAACTTCAGAGAGCGGTGAGACTTTGAGGAGATATTGCAGGTCCCTAATTTAGATCAATAGCAGAGTCTCTAGAGTCAGATACCAGGAACCAGATGCTGGTTCCATTCCTCTCAAACTGCGTGACCTTGGGCAAGTTACTCAACGTCATGCTTCTAGCGTCCTCACTTGGAAAACGGAGATATTAATCAGATGGAGTAAAGATTAAACTTGCTGATCCTTACAACAGCACTTAAGGTATCAGGAGTCTTATGTTTGTTAATATTGGATATTTATTTAATACAAAATTAGATGTTGTTATCCTCTCAACGTTCTTTCTGGGGGAAGACAGGGTCTTACTAATGCAGTGCAGGCTGGCCTTGAACTCACTAAGTAGCCCAGGCTGGTTTGAACTCACAGCAGTCCTCCTGCCTCAGCCTCCTGAGTGCTGGGATGACAAGTATGTGCCACCACACCTGACATTAGTCCTTTTTTGAAGTACTTTTTTTTACTTTGAGACTCATCTTGCTAAATTGCCCAGGTTGGTTTTGAAGATGCTCCTCCTGCCTCATCCTTCTAAGTAGGTAAGATTATATGCATGCACCCCCATGCCCAGCCAGAATTATCTTACCTACTTTTATCCATGCTCCTTTACTACATAAATTCTACAGATACACTACATCAATCACTTGCTCATACTAATCTCATGATTTGGAATTCCAGTTCTGACTGTGATAGACTGAGGAATGCTTCAAGATCCAAAATAAAAGCTTCTTCTTCTGCAAGAGGAGGTGTTTTCTCCTCTTGCTGACCCATTTCTCATCTCTCGTCAGATCTCCCTTTCCTATTCTGGCTCTCCCCTATCTCTGAGGTGGGCAGGGTGGTTAACAATAAATCCCTGTGGAATGGGTAAGTGGATAAATATAACCCTGACTTCTTATGCCTTCAGAGAGGCTCAAACAAGTGAAAGTTTTCTGTGTACTATTTCAAATTTGTATTCATTCCCTAAAGTCTCAGAGGAGGGCTGTTCCAAAGCACTACAGAAAGGGGAAAATAAAATACTTCAGAAGTTAGAAGACTTTTAAAAAGGTAAACAGTTTTTGTTTTGATTTTCAGTGTTTGAGGGATTGTTTTACCTTTAAACTCAGTAGAGACCTGACTCCCCCTACTGGATGTAAAAAGCTGCTTTCACAATGAATTCATAAATGTAATGGCAGGAAAACAAAATCAGGTATATTTAGAGGCTCAGCAAGGTTCCTACTAGAAATGGCAAACTTTGACATACTTAGAGAGACAAAATTGCTGTGATGACTGGCTGCATAACAATTACAGTTACCTCATATCTTTGGAGGAAGAGGTGTGGCTTTGAAATCTAAATTCAACACCACAGACCAGGAAGTCCTGAATAATCCAGTTATGACAACTGCCAAGGTGGTTCATGTCAATTTAATTGATTTATTTTGTTTTCTTATTAATTTTTGCCCTCTGTGTTGTGGGCATAGGGATGCTAGTAGCTTCTTCTTGCTAGAGAATGACTTGAATTATATCAAATAATCAACTGAGGACTAAATATCTCCTACATGTACAGCAATACTCAGGTGCAGGAAAATAATATAGTGTTCCTCCCCCATCACGAATCTTTGAGTCTTAACCTGAACACGGAGGTTGTGTTTGATACTTCCCGTGCTGTCTGACATACAGTAAACCCTCGACAAACAAATGCTGTCTCACTTCCTTTTCTGCCACTGACTCTGGCTTCTGCCAGGAGAGGAATCTGTTTCCAGGCCTGATAGAATTTTTTTTTTGAGATTCATTCTTCCCAGCTTTCACTGGATTGTCAATATCATGAGAATAAGGACCAAATCTTATTCACACTCCATCCCTAGCTTTTAGGATTATACCCAGAACATGAAATATGTTCAATACATTTTGTTGAATTAATAATCCTCTCAGAAAATTCATTTTGCTCTTGGTTTTCTTTTATTGTTTAGAAAAAAGAGTTGCTGAAAGCTGAGCACCAGCATTCAAGAGGCCACAAATTCGAGGCCAGCCTGGGGTACATGGCAGACGATGTGTCAAAAATTGAAAAAAAAAAGTTCAAATGTATTTCCTTTTTACTTCCATTCACTGGTTCTTGTCTTGCCTAATGCAAAAGGTTCTCAGTAAGTACCAGCTTCCTTTGTATCCCCACTTCTTGATTTTCATCACAGTTTATCTAAAGGAAGAAAAGCTTTCCTTTTACCTTCTTCTGTGCAAGTACTGAAGACCTGAAAATTAAAACTCCCAAAAACAAAGCATGTGGTATAAGAGAGGAAAATGAGGTGAGGTAGACAAGAAATCACTGTCACCTCCAGCAACAGCTGGACCTGTGACACGCACCTATAGTTCCAGCACTCAGAAGGCTGGGGCAGGAAGACCACTTGAGCTCAGGAGTATGAGGCCAGCCTGGGTAACATAGTGAGACTGTCCAATAAATCTAGGCAGAATGGGGGCTGGGAGCCTCTCTGAGAAGCCGTCAAGAAGGAACTGATGTGAAGGACCCTCCTGCCAGGAAAGAGCATTCCAGGGAAAAAGAGCTACACAAGGACTGAGGACGTTGGAGGGAAATTTGGTGTGGAAAGAATGGGGGAATAGTTTAAGAAAAAGCAAGAAAGAGAGCTTTGCAAATGGGTTGGAGGGAAAATGTTAGAAGCAATGGAGAAACGAACATGAACTGTGGTGCAAACTTATTTTTGTAAAATTATTTAGGTAGTATTAAGGAAACAGCTGGCTCAACATCTTTAGTTTGGTATTACAAACACTTGAACAATAGTTCATAAGCATATGCATGCAAAATACATGTTCATGGGCTGGGGATTTAGCTCAGCGGCATAAGCACCTGCCTTGCAAGCAGGCAGTCGTGAGTTCGATCCCTGGTACTGATAAAAAATGAAAAAGACAAAAAAAAAAAAAATACATGTTCATATAGTTTATATGTTTTTAAAGGATTCAAAATAATTTATAGAAATATTACAAAATAGGTCAGTGGGTCAAATAATTGGAGAAGTGAGAAGTAAAGGTAAACACAAGGAAAATAAAGCAACTACTGTGACATACAAAAGTAGCTAATATACAGTTCTAAGCAATAGCTACACATTAGCTGTGTTCTGTTTTGTTTTGTTTTATTTGAAACAGAATCTCACTATATGGTTTAGGCTGGCCTTAGATTCACTGTTGGAGCCCTGCTCCAACACAGAGCGATCTTCCTGCCTCAGCCCCCTAAGTGATGTAATTATAGGCACTTGCCACCACTCTCAGCTAGACTATTCATTTGACTGTATGCTTGGGGGTAAGGCAATATGAATAATAATGAACTTTGATGTCCACATGATAACTTAAAAATCACCCTTAAGAGAAAGACAGCTTCCTGATTACAAGACCCAAGAGAAATTTTCCTTAATGGTGAGTCATTCAGGAACATAATGGTCAAAGTCCACAGCAACATCCTACAAGCAACACAAGATTTTATCTCCTAAAACTAATTTCAGTGCTTAAAGCAAACAGGGAATTCACAAAAGAAATCTGATATAGAAACAGAAACAAGTTAGCTATGCAGCTTATGCTAGCAGCTATGAATCAGGAATAATGTTTAAAATAGCTAGAGAAATAGGATTGTTTAACTTTCAAGTAATACTCAATAAACATTATTTCTTGCACGTGAACTTCTGAGAATAAAGTATAATAGTTTGAAGATTTTTTATTTTTAAAAAAATTAATTAAATTTTTTGGTACAATCCTATTCTATTCTACTCTATTCTATTCTTCACGTTTTTGAGATAGGATCTCATCATGTATTTCAGGGTCTCCCTATTCAGTTCAGGCTGGCCTTGAAATCACTATGTACCCCAGGCTGGCCATGCCCAGCTCTTTGATACTAGTTTTAGACATAAATAATGATCATGTTCATCATAGGGAATTTGTAGCTGTACATGACATACCTTGATTCTTCTTTTTTTCCACATTCCCAAGATTTTTTTCAATCCTTCTTCCCCTCCTTATTTACAAAAGCTTTGTTTCCATTTTTCCATCTTTTCCAATTTTTTCTTTTCCCTTCTTTCCCTTCTCCCGAGTTCTACTTCCCATTTGAACATTTTAGAATTTGAAGTTATTACATAAGAAATAGACTAGAAATGAACTTTGATGCTGATTAATAGTTGTTTTAATAATCAATGGCACTGAAGGCAGTACTAATATCCCTTCAGAGCAGGGAGGGGTCTAACAGAATGACAGCCCAAAAGAGAGGACATCATGCTGCTATTTGGAGATGGCCTAAGAAGCTTGTATGTGCAAAGGCAAGACTTGTGCCAGAAACTATATCTGGCTTCTCTTAAGTAAATACACAGATGATGATTCTGGTCCCCGATTCTTTCATACAACTGTAATCAAGATTTCTCTTTCTTTCTCTCTCAAAAAACAATCACTCTAGCTCCCAGTAGTTAAAAGAATGCCTTAATTAATAAATTAGTTAAGAAATTTACTTTCCAGAGCCAGAAGAGGTGGTGCATACATGATCTCAGTACTCTGGGGCCTCAGACAAGAGGACTGTTAAAAGTTTGAAGCCAGCAGCCTGTTCTACATAGTGAGTTCAAGGCCAACATAGGTTACATATCAAGACTCTGTCCTCCTCCTCCTCCCCACAACCACCCCCCACCAAAAAAAAGGAAAGAAAGAAAAGAAAAGAAATTTTTGGCAAAAATCAATTAAATGTTGGAGGACAGTTATCAGAAACAGTATTTGATCACTTGCAAGTGCGTGGTCTTGAGTTCAATCCATGGTACCAATAAAAAAAAACAAACAAACCAGTATTTGAATGTAAAAAGAACTGATCTCAAGTCATGCTTTCTGGCAAAATATAGAAGGATAGTGCCTGTTGAGTTGTAATAATACAATATTCAGCCAGGAATTTAGCTCAGCAGCATAAGTCCAAGATCGTGAGTTCAATCCATGGTACAATATATATATATTTTTTTTTTCACAACATAAAGACAAATAATGATCTTTCTTTTTTAAACAGAAGATCATGAACTAAGCTTATCTAAAAATTGGTTTCAGTTCATTGAAGAGTACACTTTGAAAAACAGGGAAGTTCTCTTCCTGAACTGAGAGTTATCAGATTTGCTAGCAGAACACACACTGGCTAACGAGTTGCCAGACCATTTTTCTTTCCTGTGAGCCTACAGTTTAACTACATTTACTAGCCTAGGTGTAGAAAAGTATGTTTTAGCCACTGCAATTGGATGTATTTCACCTTTACGCTTGGGGTAAGAAATCTCAGTGACTTTAGGGGTGTTGAAGACTGCAAACCTTTTAATTTACCTAGGTCCCTCAACATACAATCTCAATGTGTCAATGTGAGGAAAAGAAACTTCCATGTGTTAACCACTGGGACTGCAGATTTATTGTTACAGCAGCTAGAACATGGTTAAACACTAATATAGTAAATATATATATATATATATATATATATATATACTGCCTAGGTGCAGTGGTACATACCTTCAATCCCAGCTACTCAAGGAGACTGAGCCAAGAGGACTGCAAGTTCAAGACCAGCCTGGGCAATTAGCAAGACCTTGTCTCAAAATAGAAAATAAAAATGAGTGGGGATAAAAAGGCTCAGTAGGGACTTCCAGGAGAACACTGTGGATAGATAACAGCAGCTATGGAGGCTCTCTGAGATAGCTAGCTTAGAATCCAGGAATGGTGCGGTGAGAGGAGTCCTAAGCTGGGGGAGATATACCCTGATGACCAAGGAATGAACTAAACTGAGAGAAACCAACTGGAAATGCAATCCTGGTGCTATAACTGGAACAGATAAAATCTCAGCACAGAAGCTGGAGCCCGTGCCACTGGAAGCCACGATTTGAATTTCCTGCTACCGCTGCTGCTGCATCTGAATTGGTGTGGCAGGGACAGAATGTGAAAGTTCTGAGAGCGGGAATCGGTGAACGGAGTTGAGAGCAGGACTGGCGGGGAGCCCTGCATCAACCTGTGGTGAGTGAGAGGAACGAGGACCCTTCCATAGACTAGGAGGCTAAAACAGAGGACATTCTGGCACCAAGCAGATTAGCCGGAACAAGCTGCCGCAGTGACTTTAGTCACATATTCCCCTCTCAAGTGGGATTGGTAGGGAGCACTTGGCCTGGGTGATGCCACGGACTAAGACCCAATAGGCTAGCCCAAACCAGGCCCCAGTGCTGGGCGGTGTACCCTAGCAGTGAAGCCTTTAGTAGGTTGACCTGGAGGGGCGGGTCCAGCAGAGGCTGCCCAAGTCTGTGTCTCCCTAGTACACTGCAGTGGCCGGGAACACCTAGCCGGTGGATTCATACAAACTGTAACCAACAAAGAAAGAAACTGGACCTCCTATATACACTTGTATGGAAGGAACAAAAAGTATGGGAAGAGGGAACAACAAGAAAGGGTCCTCAGTCCCCAATCCTGAGAACACTGATCCAGGAAAGGTTAATGCAAAGGAGAACGAGGACATAAAACATGCAATATCAGACCCGGCACCAATAGACATAAAGTGATATCTCCGGAGCCTCATAGACGAGTTCAAAAGTGAAGTATTTAACAAAGTCAAGCAAGATATAAGTAGAATAGTTAGAGAAATGCTAAGCACTGCCCAAGAAAAAAAAAACAGATGGTGGAATGAAAGAACGGGGGAAAAGGGGAGAATTGTTTGATGGAGAAAATAGAGAAAACATAGAATACATGAAGCAGGTTCAAAGAGATTACCAGGGAACAAAAACTTTATTGAAAGCTGGCATAACAGCTTGAAAGAAACTAAGGTTAGATTATCTGAACTGGAGGACAGATTTGTAATGTGGGAGCATGAAATGAAAAACTTCTTAAAAATAACAAGGAAACAAACAGCAATAATACAAAGGCTAGAAGATGATGTCATGGTTTATGTTTGTGTCCCCCAGGCCTCATGAGTTTGAATTGTGTGTTTGTGATTTGTTCATTGTCTAGTGCTTGGACTGATAGTGTTAGTTCTACACCCACTTAGGGGTGGAGCCAGGATGTAATGTAATGGCAGGAAGAAGGTATGTCTTTCTCTTTGCTGGTTCGAGTTTGCTGTTGGCGGCCGCCATGAACTGCAGCCCAGCCATGCCTGCCTGTCTTGGAGCCAACTGAATGTGGACTGAAACCTCCAAAAACTGTAAGAAATAAACCTTTCCTTTCCCAACTTTGGGCTTCAGGTATTTTGTCTCAGCGTTGAGTAAAAAGTAACTAAGACAGATGATAAGAGGATCTATAACTTAAGAATTAAGAACAAAAAAGAAGGGCCTGGGGATTTAGATCAGCGGCATAAGCACCTGCCTTGCAAGCAGGTGATTGTGAGTTTGATCCCTGGTACCAATAAAAAAAGAAAAAAAAAGACTGAAAAAAAATAATGTAAAAGAAGAAGTAGGGACACAAACAAATGAACTACAAAGGCTATTCACAGAAATAATCCAGGAGAATTTCCCTAATTTAGCAATAGGTAAAGATAATCAAATGTATGAGGCATACAACCCAAACAGAACTACACCCAGGCATATAATAATTAAAATTCCAGAAATACAATATAAGAACAGAATATTAAAAGCCGTCAGAGTCAAGAAACAGATCACTTACAAGGGAACACCCATCAGAATTACAGCAGACTTCTCAGCACAAACTATCAAATCATGAAGAGCATGGGGGGAAATAATTCAAACTTTGAAAGATAATAACCTCCAGCCAAGATTGATATATCCTGCACAACTGTCCCTAGAAATTGATGGAAAAACAAGGTGCTTCCAGGATAAAGAGGAACTAAGGGAATTTGCAACCACCAATTCAACTCTACAGAGAATACTGCAGAACATTCTAAAAAAGAAAAATTCCAAGATTCTAGAAACAGTGGCAGAGAGGCCACAATGAATGGAGCAGAAAGCAAAATGAAGAAGACAAACTGACAACTAATGATAGAAAAAGAGCTCAACAGAAATGAGGCAGAGAAGGTTGGATGGTATGAACAGCTATTTTGGAGAAAACAAGAGATCATAATAGCTAGTGCTGATTTAATATCATCTTGTTTTGAAGTCCCATCAAGTTTTTGTTCTTCTGTCTCCATTGATCTTAACATGTTGTATCTTATTGGACTTTATTATATGTGATAATATAAACAAATACTTTTATAGACAAGGAGATTATACAGAAACCATTGTTCATTTTCTGATAGTTGGCTCTAAATACCCTGTAATACTGTCATTCTCTTGAACGGTTTTACATTGTCTTGATATGTTTGATGCTACAGCATACAAAGTTATACTCAAAGATTTCAAGGAAAGAGACACTATGCTAACTACTTTTGTGTCAGGATATCTTGTGGTGAAACACTATTTTGCTTAAATGGTTATGTTTTGATCTGTGCTGTTTTGTTTTTATGTCTTTTTTTAATCTCAATCTCCATTTTTTATTATTTAATTTTTATTTTTATATTTTTAATTAAGGGAAAAATAAAAATAGCAGGATATATTATAGTAAATCACTTTGATTTCCTATTAACTTGATTTGAAACCCTGTATTGCTCTCACCATCTTGTTTTGACTCTTGATTTTACTCTATTCTGTTTTGCTTGATAGTACCAAATTTGAGAGTATAGGCAACAACTGTGAAGACAATAAGATTCACTATGAGGCCCGTTTTGGTTTGACTATTATCTTCTTTTGAAGTCCTGTAATGTCTCCAATGTTTGGTTTTATCAGTTTTGTTCTTTACTGTTTTGTCCAATTTTATTATAACTGATGATATAGGCAATTCTTTTTAAGACATCAAGGGGCATTATGGTAACCATTGTTGATCACCTTGTATTCTGTTTTTACATTATGTACTATATTCATCCTTTTTATTTGATTGATTGTTTTGTTATGTCACATTTGATTTTATTCTCTTCAAAAAAAAAAGTAATAAAAACTGTGGGAGTAATAAAACCCAAAATGTGTAATGGTCATTGTAAAAAAGAGAGGAAAAGAAAGTGCTCTAAAGGATATAACTGCATGTACATTTAAGTGTATAAGATGGATGACCATATTACTGAGTTTTGTTGGATCATTGAACAGAACTGTTTGCAGTCTCACTGTTTGAATGTCCACTTGTATGCTTTAATTTTGTAACTGGAACAACTATTTCTAGGATGACAATATGTAATCTACTAACCAGTGATTTCCTACTGTTTATTTTTTCTGAAGTTCTGTATAACTCGTACCCTTTTTCTGTTTGTTTTTCTTTTTCTCCTTAAATAAAATTTAAAAAAGGCTCAGTACTTCTTGGCCAGCATGCTCAAGGCCTTGCATTCAATGCCCAGTACAGGGGTTAAGGGAATAGGGGGAGAATACACTTCTACCTTTCTATAGAAGTTCCTCGTTCTAAAAGGGAGCTATTAATAGCTTTTACCTTGGAGTCTGCACTAAGAACTAAACAGATTTATGCATGTAAGTTACTCCAGGCAGTTCATGGCACAATATAAACACTCAATTCATGTAAGCTATCTTTGGTACTATAACAAACCTTCCTGGTATTAAGATGCAGATTCTATATGACTCAGATTTTTTCTGACTAAGCAGGTTCTAGTTACAAATAATGTCACACTGATGTTGTTATCTGCACTGTGCTGATTCATGTCCCAGTCACTGCAGGCCTTCGGTGTGTTTCTGGGCACTTTGGGTTGTCTCACACTTACTGTGAAACTGTTCTTCTCTGACCTTCATGCTGTATCGTCTGCCAACCATCCTGAAGCTACTAGGAAATAGAGAGTGGCAGAATAAGGAGGAACTCATCACCAGGGGTGTGCTGGTCCTGCTCAGGTACTGCCCCTCATTTGCCTAAAGCTACAGATCCTCAAGGTGCAGAACTCCACTCCTAGCTACTCTTCCTAGGGTTTTCCAAATTTGCTTTACTGTTAAAATTTGTGCAATGACCTACTGCATTTAGAAAAATGTTAGAAACATATTTAAAGAAATATTCTTGTGCCAGGGATTTAGCTGAGTGGCATAAGTACCTGCTCTGCAAACTTGCAGTCATGAGTCTGATCCCCAGTAACAAAAAAAAAAATTAAAAATAAAAATAAAAATAAAAAAAGAAAAGAAAAAGAAAAAAGAAAGAAAGAAATATTCTTGTGTTGGGGATATAGCTCAGTGGCACAAGCACTGCCTGGCAAGCACAAAAGTCCTGAGTTTGATTCCCAGTACCAAAAATAAAGAGAAGTATTTTTGTTACAGAACCTGTATTGAACCAAAAGGAAGATGCTCTGCACCAAGGAATTGGAAAGCAACTGTTTATTTACACCAGTGGGCTGGTGGGAATCACTTCCAAATCACCAGTCCTGAGTCTGTTTGGGGTCTCATTTATATAGGTTTGCAAAACAAAACAAAACAACCCAAAGAACAAAAAAACAGAAGCAGAAAGTACAGAAGCTCGATAGAGTTTTCATTAGGTTGATTTAGACATCGTCTATTACTGGGTAGAAAGCCCTTGAAATAGCCTGACATAATAGCCTACACCCATAATCCCAGCACTTGAGAGGCTGAGGCAGGAGGATTGTTGCAAGTTCAAGACCAGCCTGGGCTACCAAGTGAATTTAAGGCCAGCTCGAACTGCATAGGGAGAGCCTGTCTCAAAAAAAAAAAAAAAAAAAAAAAAAAAAAAAAAAAAAAATTCTTTGAAATATGTTAGAAAAGCAAACTATAATTTTAGGGGGAAAACACAGACACTGTAGCTGGACATAGGTTGACCTGGGTCAGGCTATGGATGACAAGCAGCTGGAAATAGTCAGTCAAGGTTTAGCAGTCTAACTATACAGCATGCAGGATGAGCATATCCTGTCTCAATATGATATCAGGCTGCTGGATAGTTTTAAAATTTCAAAATTCCTGTCACATTCTGAGCCAAGGTTACAGCAAAGTGGCAAAACTTGCCTAGTATATTTTAATCCTCAGTACTACAAATAATAATTCTCTAGTGTCACAGAAATAAATTTTAATTTATTTACTTTTTCATTGTCCTTTGTCAATCATTGGGCTTACAGAAAGGGGTGATCAGTCAACAGTGCTAAACTTTTTTTGTAGAAATTTCTAAGGGCTTGCTGGGGTCTCTTCTTTACCTTCTTCTAGTCTATACCCAGGGTAACTACCGTCTACATGAAAGAGTTCCTGTCAGGGACTCATAAACTGAGGTCTATAGACCTCTCCTCCCTATATCTCCTTTCCCAAGTAAATCCATGAATCAAATTTAGGGGTTTTGCCCCCTGGTGGCACACACCTATAATCCCAGCACTCAGGAGGCTGAGGCAAGGGAATCATTGCAAGTATGAGATCAGCCAGGCTATAAAATGAGCTCAAGACCAGCCTAAACTGCATGGTGAAACATGCCCTTAATGCCAGCCGTGTTGGAGACTGAGGCAGGAGGATTGTGAGTGCAATGCCACACTGGGCAACTTAAAACCCTGTCTTAAAATAAAAAATTAAATTAAATTTAAAAAGCTGGAAATGTGACTCAGCAGTAGAGCATGTGTTTCACATGTACAAGGCCCTGAACTCAATCCTCAGTACCGAGAAAACTTGAGAACTATATTTCAATGTAATTGACTTCTTGGCATATTTTTGCTTTCTTTATAAACATATCACCCTGAAAAGGAGTATCATGGTTTATGTTTGTGTCCCCCAGGCCTCATGAGTTTGCATTGTTCATTTGTGATGGTTCATTGTATAGTGCTTGGATTGATGGTGTCAGTGCTCCACCCATATAGGGGTGGAGCCAGGATGTGATGTAATGGCAGGAAGAAGGTGTGTCTTTCTCTCTTTGCTGGTTTGAGCTTGCTGTCAATGGCTGCCATGAACTGCGGTCCAGCCATGCCCGCCTGCCTTGGAGCCAACTGAGTGTAGACTGAAACCTCCAAAAACTGTAAGAAATAAACCTTTCCTTTCCCAATGTGAGCATCAGGTATTTTGTCTCAGTAACGATCATAAAGTAACTAAGACAAGGAGATTTATAGACCACCTGACAGACCAATGAACAAAAAGAAGAAAAGTTTTGGTCTTTTAGTCAGCTTCCTGTCACTATACCAAATACTTCAGTAAATGAACTTATAAAGAGTAAAGATTTATTTTGTCTCATGGTTGATTCTTGTTTGTTTGTCTGTTTCTTTGTTTTTTGAGACAGGGTTTTGCTATGTAGTCCAGGCTGGCCTTGAATTTACTATGATCCCCCTGCCTCAGCCTCCTGAATGCTGGGATTACAGGCATGTGCCATCATGCCCAGTCTGGCTCATAGTTTTGGCTCAAAGATTTATTTTGGCTCATACATCCTAGTCTATAACCAGTTGGCCTTGTTGCTTTTAGGCTTACAGAGAGGCAGCACGTCATGATAGGAATGTGTGGCTGAGTAAAGCAGTTTTCCTAGACTTGAATGAGAAAAAAAAAGTGGCAGGGACCTACTGTACCCTTCAGGTGCATGGCCTACTAAACTTTCCAACTCTTCTTCTTCTTCTTCTTCTTCTTCTTCTTCTTCTTCTTCTTCTTCTTCTTCTTCTTCTTCCTCTTCTTCTTCTCCTCCCCTTCCTCCTCTTCCTCCTCCTCCTCCTCTCCTCCTCCTCTTCCTCCTCTTCCTCTTCCTCTTCCTGTTCCTCCTCTTTCTCTTCTTCCTCCTCCTCCTCCTTCTTCATACTGGGGATTGAACCCAGGACATTTGCAAAAAGCTATATCCTTAGTCCTTTTTTTTTTCTTATTGAGAGAAAAGGTCTTCTAAGTTGCCTAGTCTGGGTTTGAATTTACAATCCTTCTGCTTTGGTCTCCCACGTTGCTAGGATTATAGGCATATGTTACCACATCCGCTTTGACTTTACTTCTTAAGGTTTCCATCATCTCCCAAGCATGAAGCTGGGGACTAGACCTTTGACACAAGGGCCTATGAGGGATAGTTAAGATCCAAATTCTAGAGTATTTGATTTGACACTTACCTCCATGTCCCCAAATAGTCTAACTCATTCACCCTTTTTTGAAGTCCCAAAGGATAAACTGATGACCACAATTAAGACCATTACAATACCATTGCCTCAGACAATATGGTAGCTGATTAAGAGCTTGGGTATTGGAGCCATCTGGCCCTGCTCTGAGACTAATGAACTATGTGACTTGTGCAAGTTACTTAACCACTCCATAGCTCTAGTACCAGGAAATTACAGTTGTTCCTCATAAGATGTTTATCTAGATACTATTCATGCACTAAGTCTCAGTGTCGAGCACATAGGAAATTGTCACCAGACATAAGCCACTCTTCTAAGTACTTGTCACTGCTCTTTCTTTATGATATTTCTGAGAAGAGAGGAGGAAGAATGAAGAAATGTTAGCTATTCCTGTTAGTCATAGCCCACACATATTACTTTTATGATGCACAAAATACATATCCTTTTTTTTTAAAATTTGGGGAACAAAGGCTTTATTTTAGGCCAGGCCTGGCAACACAGCCTCCAGGAGACAATATGGAGACTGCTACATATCCTTTTCTTAAGCACATAAAAGAGTTGATAGTTGTTTCTGGAAACGTTTCCAAGTTCATTTTATACTTTATATAGACTTGGATTTTTCTCTTTCAGTACTTCAGTAGCAATGCAAATGCTCCTCACCACTGATTCACAAAGCAGGGCTTCCGCTGAAACAATATTAGTTTTTTATATTGCAGGCTCATTTCTAAATCCTTCCAGAAGTGAGTCCCAGCTATGCCATTTTGACTGAGGGGGAGAAGGTATTAAGTGTAAATGGAAGTAATTTCATTCCTTCAGCAATTATTAAGTTCCTGGCCAGGCACTACTGAAATCTAAAGGAATTAGTGCTGAACAAGAGAGAGTCCTTGCCACCATTAAATTTCCATTCTAGAATGGAAAGACAAGTAAAAGAAGCAATTAAAAAAAAAAACTATAAAGAGGTGGTCAGTGGTTCACAGTGCATTGAAATAAAGCCGTGTTATCTTTTAGATTCAGTGGCCAGAGAAGTGTTTAGGAGATAACATTTAAGCAGAGATCTGAAGAACAAAAAGGATCTAGCCAAACTAAAGGGAATAAATTTCCAGGCAAAGAAATAGCTAAGCAAAATTATTACAGCAAGACTCAGCTTGCCTGTTCTTAGCTATTTAGGGATAAAAAGAGATTTGCCTTGGCCGGAGCATGCTGGGTAAAGGGAGTTTACAGGAAAGGTAAACTGGAACATACTGTCTAAGGCTTGGGAAAGATATTAAAGAGTTTTAGCTAGTTGTTGAGACAATTAGATTTACTATTTTACTATTTGCTGTATGGAGAACTGTTGGAATCTGTAGCTAGATCCCCAATCCCTCAAATGAGTACAAAGGCCCAAAGGAATGAGACACGTGGCATGATCTTTA